CTCAGTGGTAGAGCACATGTGAGACACTGGGTTGGATCCTTAGCACCACATAAAAATAAACAAATAAAATAAAGGCATTCTGTCACTCTACAACTATGAAAATTTTTTTTTAAAAATACAACTGATTTCAGAACCATATCATATTATTAAAAGAACCAACATACTTCCAGTATTTTTGCAGAAATGATAATACCAATACAACTTACATCTTCTAAAACCCAGAGAATTCCCCTTCCAACAAAGAAATTAGAAGAAGAAAGAGGTAATCCCTTCTACTAACACAAACTAAGATTTCCTTTGGTGGATTTTTAAATAGTCTAAATGGTCTGAAAATCGGGTTAATTATATGCTAATACCTAATTACACACACACTCTCTCTCACACACACTAGGTTCATGAGACAAGCATTCAGCCAGATCAATCTACCCTTCATCAGTCCCAATCTACCCTTTATCACTTTTCAGGCATTCTACACTTAAATTCAAGTCAAATCTAACTATTACACCGAGGTCAGCGCAGCCAACGTGCACTAAAGATCCTACCAATGTCAGGCTTTATGCCAGGCAGTATGCTGATAGCTGAGGAGAAAGCAATGAATCAGACAATGAATAAGCAATGAATAATACATGCTCTCTGCCCTCTAGGAACTTCTCAGGAACTCCCACATGCATAACCCTCCTTATTTCGAAACCCAGGTGAAATGATACAGCCTTCCTAAAGCTTTCCATACAAAGAATCGAGTAATTTTTCACAGCTTTAAATTCCATTAGTCACTCTCTAATTGTTTCAGGGTTACTTCTAAAGTCTTATTTCACTTTATATGCTATTCGAGGCTCATACAGCTAGCCAACTGATCTTTTAGCATGCCCCCCACAAAGCCTAGTTTAGTGCATAGGCTATGATGAGCAAGAAATAAACATCTGTTAAACAATCAAGCATTGGTCTGTTTTTATCTTTGTGGTATGTCAGATATACATAGTTGAACTGAAATATAAGGCAATTTTTGCATCCTATAAAACAAAACTTTAATGTATTTTTTCCTATCAGTTAATATGCTGCAGGTATGATTATATTCACCCCAAAGTATCTTTTTTTTTGCTCTTAAACTGAATTTAAAAATTGAAGATTACTAGATACTACCTACTGATACAAAAGATACTCAGTTAATAAACCAATACTATTCTCTTGCCATGTTTTCTATCTACAAACAAGGGCTGATAAACAGAAATAAACAGGTAGAAAATTTTTTTGTTTTTTGTTTTTGTGATGCTGGGGATTGAACCCATTGTCTTGTGCATGCAAGACAAGCACTCTACAAACTGAGCTATATCCCCCAGCCCAATTTTTTGGTTTTTGTTGTTGTTGTTGAAGTTTCCAGCCAAACACATTTTATAGATTGGAAAAAGGAGAAAAGAGAGCAAGTATTTTAAGAAAAAGGCAGCCAGGTGAGGTGGCACATGCCTGTAATCCCAGCAGTTTGGGAGGCTATAATCTCAGCAGCTCAGGAGGCGGACAGAAGGATGAGTTCAAAGCCAGCCTCAGCAACTTAGTGAGGTGCTTAGTAACTCAGTGAGACCCCGTCTCTAAATAAAACATTTAAAAAAAGGGCTGGGGATGTGACTCAATGGTTAAGCATCCCTGGGTTCAATCCCCAGGAAAGAAGGAAGGAAGAAAGGTAAAGAGGGAGAAAAAGAAGGAAGGGAGGAGAGAAAGGCAAGGAAGAGGAGTGGAAATGAGTGGCCCTGGAAGTAGCAAAGAAAAGGAAACACCTGTTAGAAGCAGCTCTCCAGTTTCCATCTTATTTTCATCAAAATGGAATGGTGATATAAAACAGGTACCTTGATAACTCTCACCCTCCTTCACTGATACCAACACTACCTGCAATACAATGCTGAACAGGACAATTTTTTTTTTTTAACCAACAGAAGGGAAAATAAGATATAAACAAATATTGACAGGCACAGTGGTGCATGCCTATAATCCCAAGGACTCAGAATGCTGAAGCAGATGGATCACAAGTTTGAGGCAAACCTCAGCAACCTAACAAGGCCCTAAACAACTTAGTGAGACCCTGTTTCACCAAAAAAAAAAAGTAGAAAGGGCTGGGGGCATAGCTCAATGGTAAAGCACTGGAGATCACTCCCCAGGACAAAATATATATATATATATTTATCCTATGTCTATTTTCCTAAGCTTTGAATATACAAGAAATAATAAGCCAGGGCTGTACCTAGTTCAAAACCACTTGGGCCTGGAGCAGTGGCCCCAGTCTGTAATCCCAGCAGTTTAGGAGGCTGAGGCAAAAGGATCCGGAGTTCAAAACCAGCCTCAGCAACCATGGCCCTAAGGAACTCAGCGACACCCTGTCTCTAAATAAAATACAAAACAGGGTTGGGAGTGTGGCTCAGTGGTTGTATGACCCTGAGATCAACAACTGCTACCAAAAAAAAAAAAAAAACACGCTGGGCAACATAGCATATAACAAGACCTGTTTCAAAAAATAATAATATAATGTGGTAGTCCCATAATAAAGAGAATACACCCAGAAAGTATAGGCTGGAGAGAGGGAGTTAATAGGAATTGGTCAAGAGAGGGCATTCCAGATAGTAATATCAATGTAGGTTACTATTTTGGAGTTACAAAAGTAATACAGGTTGAGAACAGCTAATTTGAAAATCTGAAATCCCAAATTTTTGCAACGTGCTGGCACAAGTGGAAAATTCTACACCTGACTTCCTACGATAGTCACAGTCAAAACACAAGCACAGTAAAAATGCTGTATAAAATTATCTTCAGGTTATGTGTGTAAGATGTATATGAAACAAATGAATTTTGTGTTTAGATTTTCAAAAATACCTCATTATGTAAATGCAAGTATTCCAAACTCTTTAAAAAAAAAAAAAAACTGGAAATCTGTTCTGGTGCCAAGCATTTTCGCTGTCACCTCAAAATGACTCTAAATTTTATCAAGGTAGAGCCAATACCATAAGTCTTCGAAATAAATATCACCACACACACACTGTACTTTCTGTATGCCACACACAATAATTGCTTTATTTTTTGAACAAAACTAAATTCCAACAGCAGTTTCGTGTCTTTGAAAAAATGATAGAGAGCCAGTCATGATGGCTGTAATCCCAGCAACTCAGGAGGCTGAAGCAGAAGAACGACAAGTTCTGTACCAGGCTCAGCAACTTACGGAGGTCCTCAACAACTTAGCAAGACCCTCTCTCCACAGAAAGTGAAAAGGACTGGGGGATATGGCTCAATGATTAAGCATCCCTGGGTGGTTCAACTCCCGGTACCAAAAAAAAAGGGATGTAGAAATAAAAATTTCATAGGGTGATCACGATGACTTGGGAGGCTGAGACAGGATAATCGCAAATTCCACACCAGCCTTGACAAGTTAGTGAGACTATATCTCAAAATAAAAATCAACAAGGGCTGGGGATGTAACTTGGTGCTCTTCTAATTATGAAAATGGGAAACAAAACTATATCCAGTTCTGTTCATGACACTGCAATCAATCAGAACGTACTAAGTAAAAAGGTATTAATAATTAAGATCCTAATCAATGTAAAAAGCTGAATTTTACATAATTCATTTATGTACATTCCTCCCCATTATTAGAACAATTAATGTTATCTTAGAAACGGAATAGATAGGCTCCTGCGATATTTTTCTCTTGGATGGTGTGTTTGCAGACAGGGCAGGTACTAGTTCATGTTGCAGGAGATTCCTGGGCTCGCTAAATAGGGGTTCAACTAGATGCATTCTAAAGTCTTTCAGTTAAAAAATTCCCTATCTGTAAGACGTGAAAAATAAGAAAACATTTTGTTCTTCAACTAATCGGATTTGCTTTCACTCCCATCCTAACAGTTCACCTACATAACTCGAAAGTTATTTCTCCCCTTTCTGTGCAGAGATTTCCCGAGACTCTCGCAAACAAAAGGCACGGAAAATATGCACAGGTGGGATAAAAAGGGGAGTGGCCGAGGCCGCGCGGCTCTCGGGACAGCGCCCCCACGCTGCGGGTTTCTCCTGCCGCACCTGAGAAATCACTGCCCTCCACACCTCCACCCTCCCGTGGCGGCGTCGGGAACAAATTCTCAGACCTATTACCCTCCACCCGCACCTTGGCCAGATACTGGGCATATTCTGGAGCCTCCAGAGCCCAAGAAAGGCAAGGAGAAAAGAGAAAGAAAAGGAGAGAGGACGAGAGAGGATAAAGAACGGAAGGGAAATAAAGCAACCCAGCGGCCGAGCGCTCCTTTTGACAAAATTAGCTTCCCCAAGGATCACTCAATCTAATTCAGATCACAAAAGCCAATGCTGCAGCCCAAGGGCTGAAGCCGGGGTAACCCAGTCGGGAGTCCCCCAGAGGTACGCCGATCCGGAGAACTAAGGCACGGAGAGGGAAAATGGGTGTGTGGGCTGGGCCTGGCTGGCCGGAGGCCGGGCTCCGAACAAAGCCGCCCAGCTCCCCCTACCTGGGGCTTGGGCGGCGCCGCCCCGCAGGGAGCCGCCCCAGCCCCACAGTCACTAGCCCCGGCTGGGGGTCGCAGAGGACGCCCTCCCCGCCAGCGAACTGCGCCCCTTCCGGACAATGGGCCCCCTCCCCCGCCTCCAGGCGGGCAGATACAAAGGGAGAGGAGAGCAGCCGGCGCGGAGCCAAGCGTCCGGAAAGTGAAGGCGGGGAAGGGAGAGAGGACGCGAGAAGAACGCGGCGGACGCGGGAGCCCGCGGGCCTCTCCGGGGCCGTCCAGGGCGCTGCCCCTCCGCGGCGGCGGAGGCGGGAGAGTGGTCTGGCCGTCCCTTCGACCGCCCAGCAGAGGAGGGAAGAAAGCGCCACACACAAAGAGGAGCGGGACTCCCACCATCCGACAGCGCCGAAGCGGGACCGCCTGACGCGCTCTGGCTGCCGACGGTCAGCGGCGCCCGCCAGCCCGCGCCTCCAGGGAGCTGGGGAACCGTGCGGGGCGCCCCTCTTTCGCACTCACCCACAGCTCCGTGCCCCAGCTCATGGCGGAACTTGAGGCGACTCGGATCGTCTGGCAGATCCGCTGTCTGTACGTCCGTCGGCTTCGCAGTCAGTGTGTCCGACTTCTTCTTCTGGCTAGCCGGCAGGCTCGCGTCTGAACGCCTTTGCCTCGAAAGGTGCCGCCACCGCCGGGTTCCCCAGTGAGTGAGAGAGACACGACTGGAGAAGCCGCCGCCGCGTCCCCGCCTCCCGGAGCCGGGAGGGAGGGGGCCTGGGCCAAGGGAAGGCGGGACGTGGAGCGGGGAGGGGGCGGGGCGCGGTGCACCCTGGGATCGGGGCGGACCCGCGCTCGCTTGGCTGCGACCGGCGGGGTCCCCTCGAGGATGTCCTCCCCACTCGCGCCTCTCACGCACGAGGTCTGTTCTCTGTGTCCCTTGGTAGGCGGACCGTCCGCCCCACTCCTGTCGCCACTCGGATTCCTGCCTCCAAGATGGAAAGGGAGAGGAGGAAAAGACGCCCGCTGCCCCTTCTCTGCCCGGAGCTCCCTTAACTGAGGCAACTGCAGACACCCGCATTTCCCGCCGGTGGTTTCCTCGTCTTCGGAGCACCCTGACAAAGAAACCTCATCCACATCCTCGGGTTTAGATTGAGGAGGTGTGGGTGGGTGGGTGTGTGGGTGTGTGGGGCGCGGTGTTAATTAAAAATCTTGTTGGTTTAGGAGATCTCTCATTTCAGGCCTGATGCTTCGATCTTAAGATTTTTGGGAATCATTGAAACGTGGAAGGTTGAACGTCAAATGCGAATACAGCATGCCTCCGATTCTCTTTTTAATAAAGTATTATAATTTTACTATAAGTTATTTCAGAAAATCATGAAAAAGGACAAATCGTCCGATAATTATTTGGGGAAGTTGTCACGGCATGAGATAGGAGTCCATTTCTCTTATCTCCTATGCAGGTGGCCCAGCTGGTCACCTGCAGAAGATGAGACACGAAGAAGTTTGCCTGATTTCTAGGATGGGCACCTGTGGGTGGGGGTTCAGTGGGAGGAGAGGCCAGGTGTCTCCCTGATCGTGCAAACAACCTATTAAGAACTTCTAATATCATCTATCTCAGAATATACAAACCTTGGAGACAGGTCCATCACTTTTTTTCCCCCCTCTATAGAATTGTTTTCCTAACTCCATAATTAGGCAGTCAGCAGTTTGGCTAGTGCTTCTAGATATAAAGTACTTACGCTTATAATTGGTTGTCTCCGAAAACATTTTTCAATCCAGTCAACTAGTAGCGTACTCAGTGAGTAATGACAGCTGGGTGTCCTCCCAACAGGTTCTGTGTCAGCATTTGAAACTCCTCCCCCGACGTGGCCAACACTGGTGAACCGGATTCTTCTGCTTTAATCCGGGTCCTTGCACTCCCTCAGGGTTGAGGCACTTAGCTGGAGCTTTCTGGATAGTACAACCTCTACTCTTGCTAAATAGTTTGCTGCTCTTCTCTGAGGTAGCTTGAACATACAGATTCCATATGAAATGCTTAGTTGTACCATGCCATGGAAGTCTCTGAAACATTGAACACAACACCCTAATATTTTTCTATACTGTCTCTATTTCAGATAGAATTTCTTCAAGGTTATTTATATCACCTAACACTGCTAACCACTTCTTTCTCATCTCTCTTCCTCTCACTCCCTAGACATCTTTAAATGTGTTGAGCATTCACAAATAACACTAATTAGTAATGGAAATGGATGTAGTTATCAAATGAATGTCTCATTGTTTAGAACCATTCCAATTCTAAGATTTATTATATCTAAATACTGTCAAAAAGTTAAGGCATATGGACTACAATTTAAATGAAAATTGTGTTTTCCCTTTAAAAAGTAAAATAATCTACCATTTGTGTTAAATATTATCCCTAATCATGCTGTCTACATAATTCCCCAATAGAATATAAAGTCTTACCTCCAAGATAAGTATTTTTCTTCCAAATTTTCTAAACAGATTCCACACTTAAAACAATTTATTTCTCTTCAAAAAAGTTAGATTTGTGGGCATCAAACTTAATATATCAAACATATACATTTTTCAATATTCTCCATTACTATGAATTTAGGCATAATTCATATGACCAACTTAAATTGATAATCTCCTAAGCAATTATTTGTAACATACAAAATTATTTCATATTAAAATCACTATTTACTTCAATGTTTTCAAGCAAAAGTGATTAAAAAGTGAAAACTAGGGCCAGGGGAGTAGCTCAGTGATAGAACACTTGTCTAGCATGCTCAAGGTCCCAGGGTTCAATCCCCAGCACAACAAAAGAAAAAAGAAAATTCTCACAATGAAGTGTTCTATTTAGTGTCATATTTTGTTTCAAAAATAAAGATTAATCAGATTTCAAAGTATTCCTTTTTATAACATTTCTGGAACTATATAGGCATTTTAGCTGACAGATGCACAAATTTGTTTTTTGCACAAATTCATGTATATTATCAGCATGGCAATTTATAAAACTGAGTTTTTACATAATCAGAGTTATTTGGATATAGTTATTTTTATATGTGATTAAATCTTTATGAACCCATGGGAAGGCATTTTGTAGCAGTTCAAACACATGGTTTTTATCTCTTAAGTTAAAACATAACTCAAATCTTGTTTTGTATTTTTGTTTTGGTTCTGTGGATTGAACCTGGAGCATTTTACCACTGAGCTACATCCCAGATCTTTATACTTTTTATTTTGAGACAGGGTCTCTGTAAGTTGTCCAGGCTGTCCTCAAATTTGGGATCCTCCTTCCTCAGCCTCCAGAGTTGCTGGGATTACAGGTATGCACCACTGCACCGAGCTGATTACTCAAATCTTGAAAGAAATATCTCTTTGGTATAACAAATATATTAATTTATACCCCCATATCATAACTTGAATCATTAAGTTATACAAAAACCTGTCAATTATACTTTTGCTATTTGACTTCTTGGCAATCAATTACCATGTAGTTTCTATTTCATATTAGATATTTTATAAGGTAATCAACACTAAGAAAGAATTATGGGAATAATTATTTTACTTATTAATAATTAATTTATATTAATAATTATTTTCACAATGAAGTCACTCTACTGAATAAATCAAAAGGCATTACATTGCCATAGCTCTTTAACAATTTAAATTCCAGTGCACTCTTTTAATTATGAAAATACTTTTATTGATTAATTTTCTCTTCAAACTTACAGTTGAATCTGGTCTATAATAAACCATTAAAGTGTTACCTTTTTTTGATATCATGTAGTAATTCAAATGTAAATCCCTTTTATAATTTTTTTATCCTGATTGGGTGTTTCAAGTTTTTACTCATTTACTTACTTACTTACTTACTTACTTACTTATTTGTACCAGGGATTGAACCCAGGGGTGCTTAACCACTGAGCCACATCCCCAATCTTTTTTATTTTTTTTTATTTTGAGACAAGGATCTTACTAAATTGCTTAGGGCCTCACTAAATTGCCTAGGCTGACCTTAAACTTGTGGTCTTCCTATCTCAGCCTCTGAAATCACTGGGATTACAGGGCTTTGCCACCATGCCTGGATCAAGTTTTATTTATTTATTTATTATTTATTTATTTATTTATTTATTTAATTGTAGTTGGACACAATACCTGTATTTTATTTATTTTTATGTGGTGCTGAGGATCAAGCCCAGCGTCTCACATGTGCTAGGTAAGTACTCTACCACTGAGCCCCAACCCCAGGGCCTCAAGTTTTATTTTTAATTGATACATAATAATTGTCCTCTTACAATTTCTTGTTATAAATATTTAGCTAATTCCACTTTCAGTTTCAAAATTTCCCAGCATGAATTCTTTTTTAAGTCAGGATGTAAAACATAGTTCTTTGAATAATTTACTGTTCTAAATACATCAACCTCCAACCATAAATCAATCCTTTAGTTACAAGAAAAAAATAAAGCTACATACCAACTTGATATCCCAAGTATAGTGTGTATGTATCAATGTCCCATCCATGATTAGTTACCAATAATATAGAATTTCCACTACCCAAAGGCAACAATCTCTAGCATGAACAATAGCAACTTACTTTTTTCTCATTTAAATATCTTAAGACTGTGTCTTAAAAGTAAAACTATAGGGGCAGTTCCAAATAAAATTATCTAAGTAGCTAGGCCAGAAAATCAAGCTAAAACTGTTAGGAAGAGTATCAAAGGCTGCTTGGCATCTCCATTTTAATGCTGCAAATGAAGCACCAAAGAAATGGAATCATGCTAGCATACTGATTCCATGCCAGCTATATAAAGAATAGCACTGGCTAGTTAATAGTCATCACTACTTTCTGTCCTGCCAGTTTTCCTAACCAAGAATTGGAAGAAATTCAAACTTCAAGGGCATAGTTTAAGGTGGCTCACTAGAGGAAAAAAAAAAAAGAGAGAGAGAGATATAGACTATGCCTTTTGGGATTCTACTGTCCATTATCAAACCTAGTTAAAGAATCTCATGTAATTGCTTTAATGAATCTTGGCAAAAAGAAAAAGAAAATTCTATACAAATCAAATGGTGTTGATCTAGTTAAAGAAGTAACTAATTTCTACTTTTCTATGATAATTGGTTATCTCCCAATGTCTAAAATACTTAAATGTTTCTAAAATTGCACAGAATTTTAAAAGCATTTAAGTGTTTATCTAGATTAAATTTTCTTCAAAGTAGAAAACAGTGGAACCAAAGTTACGGATTTATTTATTATTTATTGTATCTTCTGAAACCCATTCAAAATTTCTACTAATTAAATTCTTAAAGTCTTCCTATGTTTTTGGTTTTTTTTCCTTCTTATTGGTTTTGTTTGTTGAGGAGGTTGGCCTGTGTTGACAAATTTCCAACTATATGAATCAATTAACCAAGAGAACACATGGTTCTCTGTTTCAGGTTTATGGTATTTATGAAATCCAGTTAAGTAAATCATGTAAACTCATAGAAATGAAATGGCTTGTATAGATTCACAAGAGCCAATTGTTAAATTTTTAGGAATTTTGCAAACAGGTTGTTGAAAATGTTGGCTAATTGTCAGTCCTAGTGAGAGTATTTACACCACGGTAATCACTAAACACTACAAATCAGGGCTGCTTTTTCCTTTGGATAGCTGATTGTTAGACATTAGCATACCACTGTCTAAATCCTACATAGTACTAGTAAAGGAA